TGAGTGGAGGAGTGAGTGGAGGAGTGAGTGAGTGAGTGAGTGGAGGAGTGAGTGAGTGAGTGAGTGAGTGGAGGAGTGAGTGGAGGAGTGAGTGGAGGAGTTAGTGAGTGGTGGAGTGAGTGGAGGAGTGAGTGGTGGAGTGAGTGGAGGAGTGAGTGAGTGAGTGAGTGGAGGAGTGAGTGAGTGGAGGAGTGAGTGAGTGAATGAGTGGAGGAGTGAGTGGAGGAGTGAGTGGAGGAGTGAGTGAGTGAGTGGAGGAGTGAGTGGGGATTGGTGGCGGAGCGGTTAGTGCACTGTGCGACGAACCTGGTGACCCGAGAGCAATCCTCGCTCACGACCAATGACAATGAGGAATATCTTGAACCGGTCAAGGGCCTCCCTTAGGTCGACTCAGTCTTAAATGAGTGCCTGGTGCTGTGTGTCAACATCAGCACTGGAGAGACAAAGGCGGCCGGGCGTAGTCTTGGCCACCCACCTCCTCCCGTAACGTGCAGGCCCCTCATAGGTGCTCGCGAACAGCACTTGCCCCGTCAGTCTGGTACAGGCTATACGGGGGATCTTTACACTTGTATGAGCGATGTGAGAAACGGCGCGAGGAGAACGAGACGAGTGAGATGATGAGCCGAAGGTGAGCGAGCGAACGAGCGGGTTGAATGAGAGATCACAATCGGCGCATTGGCGCTTGCGTCTGTTGCGTCAAGAACGCTGCCGCAACGGACGAGGTGACAAATGAGGTTCCAATGGTGTAAATGCTTTACCCCGAGCTCTCATACTCTGATGGTGCATTGTCTTTGAGTTGTGCGCCTTTTGGCGTCATCTGGTCCAACACCATGTGAGACTAGGCTCTAAGGAAAGCTGTCTCGGGTGTGGACCAATCAACTTCAAGGACAGTGCATACATTATCAGAGTTACGTGTTTTTTGTTTGCATTATGACTGCAGGTATTGTGGTCTATGCAAACATGACTCCTTGTAAAAAAAAAAAGGTGTCAGTTTTGTTGCCAGATAGAAGGGTAAAAAAACCAATGATCATATTTTTTACTGGCAAATGAGGTTCCAATGGTGCGGTGACTCGGGTTGATGACGGGCGTCAGAGACGGCCCTCGCCAAATCGCGCACGCACCGCGCGTTGTGCGTTTGAGTAAATGCAGCGCGCGCGCACAAGGTTCACTTCGTTACAATCGACCGCTATAAATACATTGGGAGGCAGAAAGAGTAAGTCGCGGATTCGAGAACAGACGAAGAGTTCATGAACAGTCGTTCGAAACTGTTCGGAAAGTTAAAGCGGAGCTCGGGCAGGATGCGTCGCTCGAAGGGGCGATCACCGAGAATAAGGGCGGAGCGGCAGCCAAGGAATGGAACGAATACGAGTGGGCGTCCGAATAGAGAGATGGAGCGATGAAATCAGCTCAAGTGCAGCTGCTGGGTGAATTGTTGCATCACAAGATCGTGTTGCAGTGGCTTGGGGAGGCCTCCATCCAGCAGAGGATTTATCATCGGTGATGATCTGGATTGAAATTATTAGCTACGGAATAAGCCCTACACCGACATTACGTGGGGGAAGGCTTCATCCAATAGTGGATTGGCAAAGGTTTGTACATTTATTGATATTACGAACACCTCGTGCATCGGGGTCACCCACCCAAGGCCATGCCATGTGGGATCATGCTTTTTTTCTCACCATACTTCACCATGCTTGGTCAGCAAGGATTTGATGGAGGTGGCAGAGGGGGCACCACCGGCTCATGCTATCCCTGACCAGGAATCGAATTGTAGACGCTGGGTCAATAGCAGTGGCACTCTCATCAAGGTGCCACCACTCCACCCTATCCAAGTAAAATGTGAAATGTATCTAAAACGAAATATACATCAAGAAAAATAGGTTTGTTTTACTTACAGTGCTGCATTCATTAAAAAAAAACCTCAAATGGGCTGTGACATAACAACGCCCCTTCCCGCCTCTCTCCCCAAAGTGGACGATCCTGACCAGGCTCCACCTGCTTAGCTTCCAAGATCCAACAGAATCGGGTGCATTATTCCAGATATTTTGAAACTAAAACGATACACGATTTTCATTTTAATAGGTAAGGCCCACTAAGCCATATGGCTCTTTTTCAGAAGCTACCTGGCCACAAATGATTGCTCAATGAGGTGGCTTATCAAGTGGAAATCTATAGCAGCCAAACACTCTAAACGCATGTTTCTAAATGTGGAGGGAAAACCCGGAGGACCCAGAGAAAAATCCACACGACTACGGGGAGAACATGGAATATCCAGGCATCAGGATCGGGATCGAACCCACGACCTCCTGCATACCAGGCGAGGTAGTTAACATCTCCCCACCGCAGAACCCCTGACCGCGCTCCAGCCTGCTTAGTTTCCAAGATCCGACAAAGTCTGGAGCATTATTCTAGGTTTTTTGGTCATAGGCAGCTAAGTAAGCCAAATATGTCAGGAACACGAGACGGTGGGTGTCCCCTAAGAACACGTGTTTTTGTTTTGCAATTGGAACCGCTCTTGAGAGCCCTTCAGTGATTTTTGACTTCATGCTGTGGGTTAAGCGACGCTTTAGGGACGTCTGGGGATTCAGAGCAACTCCCCGGTATTGATGCAGATCCAGATCCAGGCATCATCGCAGTTGCAGAGGTGGCTCAACTCAAATGGATCTTCATGGTTATTGCATCCACTCGAGCCAGCACTGCTGATATATCCTGGGTTCAAGCCCGAGGTGTGGTTATTTCTCTCTCTATTATGGAGCTCACATTGGCTGTGTCACAGTCACCCAGCCGGCACTGCTGATTGCAAGCCCTGGGTGTGGGTGTCTCTGTCCCTCTCAGTAAGTTCACAATGGCTGTGTAAGATACACTGATGAATAGATTAAATTAATTATTGCGTGTAAGACTCAGTTATGTATTTCATTTACATATGTTTACTCTATTAATGTCACAGCTGTTGTAGATTTGTGTCACTGTACATTCTATACATTTACACATAATGTAAATTATACAGTCACACTGCTCAGTTCAAATGCCTTTCAAGTGATATCAAATTTTGATTTAAAGCTTTCGTGACTGCAGGGATTCATATTCTTGGTTCTTTCGGTAAAGTCACGTAGAAGGGAAATAATAAAATAATCTCAATATAAAAAAAAACATTTCCCTTCTACGTGACTTTACCGAAAGCACCAATAATATAAGTGATATCAAGTTTAATGATTTATTTTCATTTATTATTATTTTATTTTATTATTTTTTACCTACGTGACTTTACCGATTAAAACCTAAGTGTCTAGTTGTATTGGTCTAATTAAAATAATAACACCGCGCTGTGAACCCCACGACCTGAATTAGATTCCCAGCCACGGCTAACGCCAGTGTTGAGTGGCATCAGAACCTCTTCCCCTCTTTATTACCAACCCGTCGCGCTGGCAGGCTTTGGCCAAGTCTGGCAAACAGCCCCCGCATTCAACGTGGCACGGGGAAGCCCGAAATCCAACAGATGATTTCCATGGGGCTGTCAAATAACAACTTGCCGCACGTGAATTTCAAATCAAAATTCATCGTTCCGAGTTTTTGACACTCGGCGTTTAACTCTTCCCGTCAACGCTGTTAGAGTCGAAGCACAAACTGTGCGTCAGGTGCTCGCGTGAGTGAGCAATTGGGGGTCGCGGTGATGGCTCACGAAAAATGCGCGGTGCTCATTTAATTGACCGGGATTTTAACTCGGGAAACGATCTTCTGCAGTTCGATTCTCATATGAGCGCAGTGTGATTTATAATATAATCACAGTGCGATTATAATCCCGCACCTCTGATTAGCACGGCTGGCAACGTACTGTGCGAAAGAAGTTCAACATACATACCTTCTGATCGTGAGTCGGGTGCTTGAACCACAGCATGACTTATACCTCACGTGGCAGTCTTTCTAACAGTTTCACTCTCGTTGGTGATAATTATTAGTGGAGTATAACCGCGTTGATCATAACAATGGTAAGCAAACTACATTCCTGAATCGAATTGTGGGCCTGTATCGTGAGCATTTATCGGTTTGTGAGTGGGTGTGGTGGGGGAGGTAGTGGATGAGTGCGCATCTAATTACTCGAGATCATCACTGCGGCATATTCCCACTACCCAGGGCTTACATTCAGCTGGGTCTGTCCGGGTCGGTGAGTTTCCATTCCCGGCACACCACATCAAGTATACCCCCGCTATGGCTCTGGCTGCTCTACAGTCCTGCCTCGAGGCCTACCTGGGTCAGTGAGAAATGAAACTCGACCGCCAGATTAAAAGACACACGAAGGCCGAGTGCTTTTTACACGCTCCCGTGGATTGTTTGAAACTCGGGGTTTTCCATGCTGCACTAATGTTCGACATGGTGGTGTTTTCTTGTAATTTCTAAAATTATTCAGAGTTGCCAGTAGCCAAACTAACGGGCTCCATCGTGTCGAAGTCGGAACTCCACTTATCGGTTTCCCTCGCTTCATGCGAGTTCGATTTGTGCGATATCGCATACATGCGGCTAACCTGTTTCTACCCAAAATTCGCTATATGCGGTTTGAATTCACTTATATGCGGCTATGCGGTCGGATGTGGGACAACATTGAGTGTGGACTTGTGTGTTACATTGTGTGCTCTATTCTACGTGATTCAGATTTGTGCACCCCTGTATGTGGTTCCCCGAGGCAGACTTTGCAGCAGTGACTACTTGGCTGAGGAGCCCTAATAAAAACGAAAACCAGTCCTCAGTTGTCCATCTGTGTCTCACTGCTACTGTCAGTCGGTCACATTCGCTCAAATTTATTTTCACGGTCACCCAAAACAATAGGACCACAATGCAGTTCTTCGGGAACTGCTGATTGTTTGTCTGCATAATGCACAACGCCGAGGGCCTTTTCGAACGTTCTTTGCGTGTGTTGTGTTAAACCTGAAAAGACGCAAAACCCCTAACCCCTGACCCCATGCGCAGGCTCTGAACCCTCTCTGTCGCGTGTGGCGCTGTCACAGGAAGACGGTGCCGTACGGCGTCGGGAGCAGAGGCCGATCGCGCCGCCACGCGGATCCCAGGGACCCGGGCCGGCCTGGCGGCATCGGCGTCGGCACCACCGGCGGCACCGGCGGAGCGAGAGGCAGCGGAGGAACAGAGGAAGGAGGAGCAGCAGCAACAACAGCAGCAGCAGCAACAACAGGAGGAGGTGGACAACGATGCCTCTGCCAAGACACCACAGACACCGCCTGCTTGACCTTCTGCAGACCCCGGACGCTGCTCATTGGGGAAGGACGAAAACAAACATGAGACGTAGCCGCGCCACCAAACGCCTTCATCATTCCCGAGGCGACAAGCCCTTGGCGAGCCGGTCAACGGGGGTTTCCATCACAAACGCTTTGAACACCAAACGCTGGGCCCGGGCTCCCCCCCCCCTCCGCCCGCGGCCCAGCCCACCCCCCGCCACGTGAGTGTTTTGGAAACTCGGGGAAGAAGTAAAAAGAAAATATTGATGAAAAGGGTTCCACGCGCGGCACGCGGTGGAGTCACCGTGACCCGCCACGGTGCCGCTGCTGCAGAGCTGCGCCCGGGTCGTCGTGTTTTCGGGAGCGCGTCGTTCGGATGGATCGTAGGCACGGTGTCGCTGGCGCGGACGCGCGGGGCCAGGAGACCCAGCGGAGTGACGTCTGTCCCGCATCACGCGCTCCGATTTTTTATTATATATCCCCCCCCCCCATCAAAATGCAACAAAAAAACGTCGCCAAGCCCTTTGTTGTTGGTCCCAAGCGTAGGATCGGCATCCCAAGACGTGGGAAGATCCGTCCACAAAGGATACGACCGCAGCTATGCATGCCGTATTTTTGTTTGAAGGAACGTTGGTTCGCAATTTCACGCCCGACGTGGAGCCGAGAATGCCAACAGCGGTGACCTTGTTGGTCGTGTCTCGAGAATCTCCCCAAGGGGTTTGTTGTCAAAGGAGGAGGCGATGCTTAAAATATGCTCCGTAATTGTTACATTCATTGTTTTGTTCCAGTTCATGTCACGCCTTTGATTCGTCCAAACTAGCAGACGTTGTCATTTATTTATTGTGTTTTTACAAATATATATATTAAAATAAGTGTGGTGCTCGAGTCACAAAATATGTCTTTATATAACCTGCATTTTAAAGCGAACTCCTGTAAAGTGTTTATTGAAAAGTTTTAATTGTACTTTTTTTGAAATAAAGCCACTGCTTTACAATTGCTAAACAACTCTGGGGAAGTTTAAGATGTCGCCTGCGAACATCGCTCGGTTAAAGGGAAGTGACATCTAAATTTAAGTTCTGGCACATGTCAGCAAAATAACAATACAATATTAATAATTGCAACCTTACCTTTTTTTTTTTTACAAGATATCATTAATCCAACACCTGCTCTAGTTAATGAGCAGTCTCACGAGCTGCACGAATATCGAGCAGACTAAGACGATTCAGTAATTCATACATGCTGAACATATTTAAGTTCTTGACTTAAAGCTTTAGTTTTTTGTATTTTTTTTGTCATTTTCTTTGAACCTATCTACGTGACTTTACCGAAAGACTCAAAGAATATGAATATATTTAGCGTCGTTTTGTATTGCAGGTAGGAACAAAGCAACGAAGCCGCAACGTTCTCGGTGGCAATTTCAGGTAAACCTGAATTTGGCCGAGTTACACGGGGCTCGGGGTGGAGTAAAAGTGGTGGCCTAGTGGTTAACACACTGAGAATAAATAATATACCTGGCGTGTGACCTTGGGCGTTTTAGTCAAGGGGCGGCTATTCCTCCGTGGAGAGAATCTGGTGGCTGGGTGGGTGGGTGGCGGGGGAAACGATTGACAAGGATGCGCTAAACTGTTCGTGTTCCGTGGCCACAGTCTCGCATCGCGGGTACTTTTTCTTTCATCTGCCACGGTAATAATCGGATTGCAGATTACAGCGACGCATTACTCGCCGGCACCGTTGACCTCCTCGCACCGTGTGACTGACCGGCTCGGGCAGCTTTGGCCAAGCCGCCACCGCTAATGAAATGCAATTAGCAAAGGGGAGCATGAACACGAGAAGCACTCCGGGCAACAAGCCGCCCCCCCATCGCCCCCCCCCCCCGCCCCCCGACTGCCTTCCTTTCCCTGACGCCACAAAGCCGCCCCGGCCTCCATCTAACCGAGCAAGTGAAGCAAAAAGCAAATGATCCAGAAAGAACGCAAGGAGCAGGGTAGCAGCGCCACTTAAGACCACCCGTGACCGCCAGCGCAATGCGTCCCCCATTCAGCAGCGCGGTTAATGCAGCAAAGCCGGCGGGGGGCCCGGACTCAACGCCTCTGCCTCTCTCTCTCTCCTGCTCCTCTCCTCTCTCCTTCCACCAAACATCCCCCCCCCCCCCCCCCCCATGCCGTGCTCCCCTCCCCTCCGACCGATGCCGACCTTCACCCTCCGGGGTTGGGAGGTTGGCTCCTTCGAGGTTAATTCCCACCACCTGCACATTTTTTTGGAGGGTCGAGAGGGGAGGGGGGCGGTGGTGCTGGATCAAGCTCGTCGATGTCTCTCTGTCTTCTCTCTTTTTTGTGTGTTTTTTTTTTTGAAAATCAACCGCGCGTACAGAATGTGAAGTGGTTGGCCACTCTTTCTCTCTCTCGCTCTCTCTACGCCGCACTCCCCTGCATCTCCTCCCCCCCCCCCCCTCCCACCCCTCCGTGAGCTGAATGATGGACGCTTGAATCATCGTGCAACAGCTCTCATGCCACCGCAACTGGCGATCCGTTGTGAATGATGTTATTGAGTCATTGATTGGGGGGCGTTGTCGCAGTGGTTGGCGCACTATGAACCTGGTACCGCGTTGGGATGTTTGGTAAATTCATATTGATTTTCAATTCATGAGTGTCACAGGAAATGAGTGCTGCACCGTTGCTCGCTGGATCAGAGCGGTGGTGCAGTGCTTCGCGCAATGCTCTATGCATTTATTTCCAGGCGGCCACAGTTGCCAATCCGTGGCAAGCGATGTCTGAATCCGTTTGGGGCAGCCTCCTTCTTTACCAACTCACATTGTCCAGCGTGGTGCAGTATGGCCAACGCAGTGTGGAGATGCCTCAATCCAACAGTCGGTAGACCCAACATCTGCAAATGAACTAATCGATTAAATAAAATAAATGAAAACAACTAAATAAATAAAAAATACTCTAACATATAAGTGGAAATCCTCCCCGTAGAGGGCATTAATTCTAGATTTGAAGCTTCCTTGCAGTCACGAAAGCTTTATTTTATTTATTTCGTTGAGTTTAGTTATTTCGTTGTTTTCATTTATTTTATTTTATTTTTTACCCACGTGACTTTACCGAAAAAACTAAGAGTATAAATCCTTGAAGTCACGAAAGCTTCAAATCTAGAATGAACTAATGGAGTTTGTCAGCCGTCGCAGGGGTATCTTCCGCTCGCGTCGTCAAAGGGAATATAGATGCGCAACAACATAAACCGACATTACATCACCTTCCTTCGCATGTTTGCCTCCACGATACTTTAAGATCATTTTTTGTTAATGCAGAGACAAGTGTTGGGAATGAGGTGTGTTGTCTCATTATTTATGCAGTCGGCAATGTTTTGGTGTTCGTTATCGCAACTGAAATGTGGATTTCGCGAGAGGCCGGTGTTGGATTGGGGGGGAGGTGGGGCGTTGGGCGGTAGGGGTGGGGGGCGTGAACAATTCAGGGGCTGTGTTGGAGAGATAAGGGATCTTATTTAACCAGGTGAGGGCACGTGCAGATCCACATCTCGCTCGCAAGGGAGACCTGGGGCCACTGCTCATCAATTCCGACGTGACGGCGCAATGAGCGGGGTTTCATGTGAAGAGAGAGAAAACTAAATTAAAAATACTATTAGAGACGTACATTGTTCCCCGAATACAGCCAGACGGTACAGCAAATCGCTCAACGAACAAAAAGCGCCACCGCTTGTGTTCCCTCGCATCAACATTGCTGCTCCATACGCACACCGTCTCGTCTGGGTAGGTATGTTCTGGCGGAGCGGTAGCATGTGTTAACGTAATGTGCTACAAATCCGGCGACCCGAGTTCAATTCCCAGCCATGGCTGTTAACATTTGTGCCAAGTTTGAAACCGGTCATCGGCTCTCCTCGTCACCGACCGGCGTTGACCGCAGTGGTGTGGGGAGACCTTCATCCAGCAGTGGATTGACGAAGGGTTTTATAATTATAAAGCGTAATATAAGCAATCACGCTCGACCATCTGTCCGTGCCTAAGGAGACAGAATAATAATTACGAATCGTGCCATTCGGCAAGCTGTGCGACGTTTCGCTTTGGGAACTGATGACAACTGCCCCAGCACGGTGAGCGAAACGTCGGACACCGTGCACAAACGGCGACAAACCGTGGGCATTGGTGCGACCCGATTGTGACGAAGCTCCGGTGGATGACGACGATGACGACGCTGCACATCATGATGACGATGACGACGCAGCACATCATGATGACGATGATGATGACGATGATAACGATACATCCCTCCTTATACAACTGTGCACTCCGGGTCCCCCCCTGGGTCCCAAATCACCTATCGGCTGGTTATGAACGAGCTCGATGTATAACCAGTTGAGAGCAATGGGTGGAATCGCGTAAATATAAATGCGCCATTAAACCCGCCACCACTCGACGCAGCCAAATTAGTAAGATTTGTCACGTAAACACATTCAAATTTACGCGCTCTAACCCCCACCCCCCCCCCCCCCCCAAAAAAAAAACCTCTATTATGGATAATATCTGTCGCGAAAGCTTAACTCCGTGTTAAACTGACGAGGGTCACTTCTGCCACGGTTCTTGAGAGGCGGCTCGCGGCGCAGCCCGAACAGAATCGCCACCCCCCTTCCCCCCTTCCCCTGCCACTCCTAATCCCCTCCCAGAGCGGCCCCTCGCTCGCTCTCTAAGTCCGGTGACATCGGGGCCTCGGCTAAGAAGACCTCTGACTCCCGGGGTCGCGGATAAGCCCTTGTGGATTCGCCCGCCTTTCAGTGCTCGCGCTGACGCTTGTGGAGAGCCCGATGATTGTTTGTGGGACGGGGGTAGGGCATGGGAGGGCGGGGGTGGCAGGGGAGTGACGAGAGTGGTGGTGAGTGGTGTGGGGGGAGCGGTGGTGCAGCGGTTAGCGCTCTGCGCTAAGAAACGAGTTCGATTAATGCTCACGGCCAACACCAGTGACGATTATATCATCTATCTGAACCGGGCATGGGCCTCCCCTAGGTCGACTCAGCCTCGAGTACCCGGTGCGATGTGTAAATGTCGCCACTAGGGAGACAAAGGCGGCCGGGCGTGGTGCTGACCACCCACCTCCTCGTGTGCCGTGCCGACATTCATAGGTGCTCGCAAACAGCACTTGCGACAAGTCTGTAACAGGCTACACGGAATCTTTGTCTTTGGTGAGCGGGCATAGAGAGGGTGAGCGATAAAGCAGTGCCAAAGGCGCGATGTTTGACTTTCTATCGCTTCTCAAAGCGAAGACATGTGAAGGACAATAAATGACAGTAATTCACAGCCCTTTGTCAACCCACTGCTGGATGGAGGCCTCCCCATGCCATGTTAGTTATCGGGGTTGTTTGACCATACTTCGCCGCGCTGGTCTGTCCGGGTCGGTAAAGGTGAGCACGAGAACCCGTTCCGAGTATCACCCGCCGATGGTGTTATCCGTCGCCGGGAATCAAACTCAGACGGCCGGGTTCGTATAGGCGCAGTGCGCTAACCACTGCGCCATCGCTCCTCCGAGACAATCAAAAATACTCGCCCATTACTCGTCGAAGAAGGCGTCACCGGACCTCAATTGTCTGTTCCGTCCAGGGGGATCCCTCGCTGAGATGGTTGGTTATTGTTATCTATTGCGTCAATAGAGATGAACTCGATGTCATATTTGCCGATTTGGCGCGTCACACCCTCGTGGTGTGGTACGGCATTGATTCGAACGTTGTTGACGTACGGCCAAATCGCCCGCAAATGACCGAAAGCCACAGCGGTGGATTGACGAGGGGCTGTATATTTTACTGGACATCCAGGATACATAAAGATTCTGGTTCTGAGTATGATTGTTTTCCCATTGTCAGAGTTATTATTAGCTTCATTTACGGGGGGTGGGGGGGGGGTGATGGAATCGCTCACATAATCCACGCAGAAAGTTCGGGAACTTACTTGCCGGACTGTATATCTTCTGGT